TTTTGGAATTCATAATACACAAACTAATAACCCCCAATCAGTTTGACATGAAACTAATAACCCACCAATCTGAGTATAAATAAATTAGGTTTGAGAAAAATTACCGGTGTAAATTAACTTTGTCTTCCACTTTGAATGCTCCGAACTTCTGACTTATTAACTTTCACTTTGCATCTCAGGAGAACATTTTCTGTAGCATAATGTGTGGTATCAAAGGTAAACTTTCAGAACCCTGCTTATTAATTTGGAATAAATAATGTTGATACATTTTAAAAAAATGTAGGGTTTGATGGTGTTGAAAAAAATTATCAGTTTGGGTTTAAGTGCATATGTGTGAAAAAAGTTATGTTGCGGAAAACATATACCTGTTCTGCTTTGGAATCTATCAGTGACCCTTTGCCCAAAAGCATCACTAACAAGTTTCCCCTTGCAGCAGTAACCCGTTTCCATCACTGGGTGATTACTCCTGTATCAGAATGTGTGTTGCCAAAGGAGAACTTTTACAATCATACTTATCATTTTAGTAATTCATATAATTAAGTACAGAACATCATATACAGTTCAAGATAAAAACAAATGAGAAAATGACCACTAATGTCACTAAAACAGATGAGTTTTCGTAGTATATGACTACTTATGTTTTTTTCACTATAATGATATAATCCATCTATGTATGTTTTGATGTCTATCCCTATTTTTTAGTCATAACTGTTGCATTCCGCATCATTCTGCCTATTAATATGCCTTAGCTTGGTGTATTATATTCATTTATCCCTAATAGGTAGGAAATGAACACAAAACGTGGCTAAAAATCGGAATGCCCATGTATTTAGTAATGACTTAAGTCATACCAAACATAAAAAAAACATGTATGGTCATATTTTAGGAATACTGATAAGTTTTAGTAAATTGGATGTGTTTTTTCCTAAAATATATAAATGTATGTTTTATGTTTTATTTACAAAGTAATGCTATTATTTCATCTGTTGTTGTTTTCAAAGATAACAATATAACATGGACTGAGGCATTTATAAGTGATTCAGGTGCATCTGTGTGTTCAGGCGGCGTTATATAACAGTGTGAGAATTGTTTTTCAATGGATCATGGGGACAACATGTACACTACCGGGTGTGCATGTAACATCTACTCTGTCGTCGTTGTGATTTCTTTAAAGGTCTTGGTCGTTCCTTTCAAGGAACCCCTATGAAAGTGCTCTCATCCGCGGTTCTTGCTCATTTCTTTGGACTTCGTGAAGTCCGGTGATTCATGGAAGATGTTGGGGAGAGTTGGGGGGTAAGCCCTGCTCAGGAGAGGGTGGAGGTTGTGTTGAGGCATTCTGCACGCGTAAAAGTGTTGAACAAATGCTACTTTGGTGGGGAATATGTTGTTGGTTATGACTTTGGTTGGATACCTAAATAGGTGTGATCCATTTGTAACTGGAGCCAGATTAATATGGTTTCCCTATCTGTTTATCCCATGTAGGTTTATTTCTATTATGTGTAAAAGTTTTAATGCCTATGCCTAAAAGCACATGTAGTGTGCATATCTTATTTCACTTAAGCTATGTAAAATGCCTACCAGTCTTTTAGTAAAGCGACGGTTTTAATATGTTATGTTACCGTGTTTGGTTTTTAAATTATTTGTGTACTGTGTGTGTGGTGTATCTATTGTGCCTACTTTGGTTGACTCTAAATAAACTAATTTTAAAGGTACTGATTTAGATATGAATATATATTTGTATACCTAGGTCTTGGTTACGAATAGCGTGTTGTGGGCAGGATGTGATTGATTTTGTTCAGTTATCGTATCGACGCCTAGAATGACGAAGTCAGTGATAATCGGCCGCAAAAGGAGAAGATCAGGTATTTCTAGGTGTCTAGCATTGATAAAATAGCCATATTCACACGTAGTTGGATAAAGTTAAAATCTGATACAAATGTGTGTTTTTGAAAATGTGTAGCGATGATATGTGCTATTGCATTATACGTCAGTGGCAGGTATTTGTCAAAAATCTGTTGTTTATTGTAGATATTTTGATCATTAAATCAACAATTAATAATTAATTTGTTATTGATTCTATTCTTTCGTGTGTGTGTGTGTGTGTCCGGTTCCAGGTAATTATTTGACAGTCATTGTGAATGAAAATATGTTTTTGTGTGTGTGATGGAAATATAAATTATCAAATATTATGCTTGAGAAAAATAAAATATCACCTAATGCTTTTGGTTTGTAAAGCTATTCCTGCTACCAATCAAGCTTCACTCCCGACATTTTCACTTTAATCCCTTTATCCTGCCTGTTTATAAATTCATTTATGTGTATGAATCTGTTCGAGTAATCAGTTTTTATATATAAAAAAATTATGAAAATCGGGTTTAATGACCTGTATTCTTTTGTCCACCTTCCATGTTTAACGATTTGAACCTTCACTGCTCTGGCTTCCTCCGTTTCCTCCCATGCCATTTGCAAGACAATATAATGTTAGGACAAAATAAATTAATGGTGTATTAACTGTTATTGAACTGTAAATGTAAAAGTGTGCATATCTACATACCGTCAGGGCAGCACTGCACGTTGGGGTTCATCAACCTTTCATCTTCAATTTACATGAGTGTGGCTGCAATGGACATTCCAGTGAGGTGATGGTCGTTGGGGGATGCATGAGCCGATGTGTTAGGGTTTTTAGTGAGAGAGGCAGCGTTTTGGTTGTCGGCGTGATTCCTGGGGCTATGGTTGACGAGGGTGTTGCCTAGGATTATAAGACTTGGGTTTGGGCTGGGTTAATTTTAATTGGGCAGGCCCATACGGGTGGTGATTATTTTTCAATAATTGGGCTAGGCTGGACTGGGAATAATACCAAATACGGAGTATAAGGTTTTGGTATTATTTTTCAATGATTGGGTTTGTGACATATGCAGACCGTTTTTTTGTTCAAAAATATGCCGGTTTGTATGATTCTCAAGAAATTAATTAAGAGCCCGTTTTTTAGCATCAAAATCGGCTTTTTTGGCTGATTATGCTAAAATTTATAAAGTTCTAGCTGCATTGGCTAATTCTGCTGATATAACAAAAAAATATTTTTAAAATATATTTTATTAATAAAATATAAAAAAAATATGTAAAAATAGCTAAAATGGTCATCTACGGTAACTTCAGCCAATACAGTCAGAAAATTAGCTTCAACCTTACTTTTTTGGCTTATTGCACAATTCACCGCGCGAAAGCAAAAGTTTCGTTTTTGGTGAAAAAGTTGGTTGATAAGACTGATGAACCGAAAAACAGTGTAGCCAAATGGCCTCTTAGACTGAACTAGGCTTTTTGGCTTATTCCGCCTATTTTTGTAAACAATTTTTTTAAAATATATCCTAATAACATTTTATTGGAAATTTTTTATTTATATATATCTAAAATATTTAGGTATAGTAAATTAAGCTGGTGAACCAAGAAAAGTGTGTTCAGCCTTACTTATTTTGCTGATTAAAACACACAGTGTGGAAAATTAAACAATATTGCTGAAGTAGGCCTTTTGGCTTATTCCACCTAATTTTGTAAACAATATTTTTAAAATATATTCTATTAAGAATTTTTGGGAATTAATTTTAAATATATCTAAAATTTTTGGGTACATTAACTAATGCTGGTGAGCAAGAAAAGTGCATTCAACCTTACTTTTTATGCTGATTACGGCATTTTCTGTGGAATTTATAAGTTGCATGTTTGGTCATAAAATTCGTTCTTAATATAGATAAGCGGAAAAAGTGTGTTGTCAACTACCCTAACAATCATTATTCTAAACATTACATATCAATATATTTGTAAACTTTTTTGGCCTTTTATTCTGATTATTATGAGTCGGAGTAAATAGTTTTTTTCATTTCATAGTAAAACGGTATTTTACTTGAAATATGTCATTGTTTTTTCAGTTAGGTATCACATTTGTCAAATTTCCATAGATAAATTTAAAATGTATGTTGTTAGCTATTAAAATAATTTCTGCGATGTATGGGTTTTTCTTGTAATTTCTGTAGTATATATGTGCATTTATTTCTATGGTATAAGATTACGTTGAACCATGTTATTTGTGAAACCGATAATTCATAATATAAAAAAATCAATAGTGAGAGATCATATTTTCGTAGTAGGTGTTGATCATTATTCATACATGGTAAACCTACGTTAGGGGTTAATCCCCTACGTTATAGTAGGTGTTAATCCCCCGTTTCGTTAGGGGGTTTTTGTTTCCTCATATTGGGTATTTTTACAGATGGTGAGGGTGTTTTGCATCAACAAATGTTTTGCCCCTATGGTTATAAAAAAAATTAGGCATGAAAAAAGGGTTGGAAATTCATCGGCCGTGCATCGCACGGGTGATTCACTAGTTATTAAAAAAGGTAAATCACTTTTTAAAAACTTGGGTATTTTATTTTTCTGGGTCCCACCATTGACATTCCCCCATGTTGTCCTGTGTCCAATGCTTGTACGTAGTACATGTAAATCGGCAATGAAAATGCCGGTTTTGTTAACCTGAGTTAGCCGAGCAGTACATTAGGAAATATTTTTAACTCAACATCAATTTGGTAAATACTTTTTTATTCAGCATTAATTTGGAAAAAATCTCAAATTATCTAATGGTATATCAAAATATAACATAAATTATCAATATATATATCATACTCCGTATAATATAAACACACACATTTAGCTAGTTTAGGAACGCATGAATACATTCTTGGGCAATAAAATTGTTTGTCTATAAAAGATATCTATTGGTATAGAAAAATATAAAAATTCAAATGCATTATTTTCGAACGGTTCGATATTTTTCGGTTCTCAAAATCTAGGACCGTTCCCGTACCCGTTTCAAACGGTTCGGTTTCGGTACGAGAAAAAAACTATAGAACTGTTGAAATACCCGATATTCGATTCGATACCATTACGGGACGGCTTGATACCGGTTCGGTTCGGGTTTTATGCCCACCCCTACCCAAAAGTCATAATGCATCAATAAACCAACGTAAAGTTGAAGAAGGGAAAAAATAGAAAACCAAACTCCTTCGCCTTTTCGTTATTTACAAAGTCGCCCTAAGTCAAAGCCCCAGTCCTCGATGGACTTTTCAACCGCAGAGAGCGGCGGCGCGTCTCTCCCGTCAATTGGAACAGATGCCCAGAAGCGGCGCGTGTCGTATTTCTACGAGCCTACAATCGGAGACTACTACTACGGACAAGGTCATCCCATGAAACCTCACCGTATCCGTATGGCCCACAACCTTGTGGTCCATTACTCCCTCCATCGCCGTATGGAGATCAGTCGCCCTTTTCCTGCAGATGCTTCGGACATTCGCCGCTTTCACTCTACGGACTACGTCGATTTTCTAGCTTCTGTCAGTCCCGAGTCACTCCATGACCATACACACGCTCGCCATCTGAAGCGCTTCAATGTCGGGGAAGACTGCCCGGTCTTCGACGGGATTTTCAAGTTCTGCCAAGCTTCAGCCGGTGGTTCCATCGGCGCCGCCGTGAAGCTTAACAGACAGGACGCCGATATAGCCATCAACTGGGCGGGTGGCTTGCACCATGCCAAGAAGAGTGAGGCCTCCGGCTTCTGCTACGTTAACGACATTGTTTTAGGCATTCTTGAGCTTCTCAAGTACCACAGGGTATTAACTTTCTTCATTTTTGCCGTTTCCTGTTTAACTATTTTAAACTTAAATTGTACCATTTTGTACCTCGCGACTAATTAGTGCTTGTTCTTCCAACTACAAGAGTACTCTGAAATCCTCAATTTTGAAGTGGTTTGTAAAGAAAGTTTATTTCTTTGCACCTCTTATGGGGCTCCAATTTTGTTGTTGTTGTTGTAGTTCTCATTTCATTATTTGGCACATATTGTTCTTTTCCAGTGGTGCAAGTTATGTCATAAAGACTTGCTATTTTTTTTATGGATGATCATGCTAGCCTCTCCTTGTGGATCTGAGTATCTAAGCCTAATGAAGGGTATGTTTGTCCGGAATGGCTTTGGAAGGAAAGGGAGGTGTAATTTATCATATTAAGAAAATGTTTTAACATGATAATTATTTAAAACAAAAAGATATAGATGATATATGAGTGTATTGTCCTAGTACTCAATCACAGAGTATATTAAGAATAATTAGCATAAACCATACATAATCCTCCTAACTTTAAAATGAAAAGTAACCTTTCCCTTCTACTCCCCCCAACTTATCCTTAATAACCTGTTGGTGCACTATTTGCATAAAATAGTATTATTGCTAAGTAGATAATATCTGTTTTTTTGGGTGTACTTTAATGTTTTTGCTGCAAGAAATGTGCAGTGGTAGTTTGATGCTTATGTAACTTCATATATCAATCATTTGTCTCCTCGATTTATTCTTTTCATTCAATCATTTAGCATACCATGAATAATTGTTTCATCTGCTGTGTATATCACACTACTGTGCAGCGCGTACTATACATAGATATTGATATCCACCATGGAGATGGCGTTGAAGAGGCATTTTTCACGACAGACAGGGTAATGACAGTCTCTTTCCATAAATTTGGGGACTTCTTTCCGGGCACTGGGCACATCAAAGACATCGGTGTGGGTCACGGGAAATACTATGCTGTTAATGCCCCATTGAATGATGGAATGGATGACGATAGCTTCCGTAGTTTGTTCCGTCCTATAATCCAAAAAGTTATGGAGGTCTATCAACCGGATGCTGTTGTTCTTCAGTGTGGAGCAGATTCGTTGGCGGGTGACAGGTTGGGGTGCTTCAACTTGTCTGTGAAAGGTCATGCCGACTGTCTCCGATTCCTTAGATCCTTTAACGTTCCTTTAATGGTTTTGGGTGGTGGAGGGTATACTATCCGGAATGTTGCCCGCTGTTGGTGCTATGAGGTTTGCTCCTGCTCCCCCCAACTTAGACGTCTTCATTGGTTTGTGTTTGTATGCACTGGTTCTGATTTGGAGCCTGTCTGGGATAACTTGTGGTATAAGTGCTTTTATCACAAAGGTCTTCTCATTTAGGCTTTGTTTGGTTTAGAGAAAAAATAGAGAAGAAAGAAATGGGCGAGAATGTGATTGTAAAGAGAGAAATAGTATATTTTTGTAGTTTTATTATTTTTTTGGTAGAAGGTAAATATAAAAAAATTGGGTTGAAAAACAAAACAATCAATTTCATCTTTACGAGGAATAAGAAATTTTACATATTTCTAACCAAACAAAAGAAGTGCTACAGTTCTACATTTCTCTTTTCCTTACTTCTCTCCTTCCTATTTTTCCCTGCCAAACAAAGACTTAAGCATGTAAAGTTCTGTTCGAAAAAAAAAAACACCTATCTGCTCCTTTTTTAAAATAAGAGGTCTATTTTAGGTTAGCTAGCTAGCTTAGACAGTTTTTCTGATTTTTTTGATGCATTGTATTATGCTTTTTTTCTGGATATATATATATTTACATTTTATCCAAAAGGATTAGAAACTGCACTAAGGTAATGTTTGGTAAGATGTTAATATGTAGTTCAATACTTCAATGTAATGAAATCAATTTGTAGTAAAATGGTCTATTATGGATTGATTCCATTACATGGCAGTACTGCACTGAGGCTTATAAAATAAATTGCATAATTTTCTTCTGGAATAGTCATTCATTTCTTGGTAATAAGCCATCCCAACCACACTCTTAATAAGGTTTATCTGCTCTAAGGTTGACTTTTTTCAATGTTGCAGACAGCAGTAGCGGTGGGGGTTGAGCCTGATAATAAACTGCCCTATAATGAATACTATGAATATTTTGGTCCCGATTATACACTTCATGTTGAACCAAACCCTATGGAGAATCAGAATTCACCACGAGATTTGGAGAAGATCAGGTTTCTATTTGTGCATTATATTTCTGTCTATTGCATATGCATTTTACTTCCCTTCTCTTTATCACTTCTTAAAGCTGTTCATTAGTTTTGATTATCTTTGGGGCGGGGGGATAAACACAATGAAAATTAGTTTTATGCTTCATGTTCCTTGGGAAATATCAAATTTCACTAAAACTTCTGTACATTTTACACATATTTTACATACATTTAGACTTATCGTGTGCACGTAGTTTATCATAAATACACACACGCGATCCATCTATGGAGCTACTGAGATTTGCTTTTCTGACACATAGTGGTATTATTGAGTTTGAACAAATTATATATTCTTCCGTATTTTCTTTCCGCCTAAATTTCCAACTATATTCCAATTTTTTTTTCTTTCTATAGAGTTTTCTGGGAGTTGGTGAAGGAAATTATGCAATATATTTTATAAGCCTCAGTGCAGTACTGCCATGTAATGGAATCAATTCACATAATAGACCATTTTACTACAAATTGATTTCATTACATTGAACTGCGTATTAACATCTTACCAAACATTACCTTAGTGCAGTTTCTAATCCTTTAGGGCCTGTTTGAATGGAGTGGTTTAGAAGGAAGGCTTTGGAGGGCTCAGCCCTATATCCTGAATAACCTAATCTTTCGGAAAACGGAGTAATGAAAATTGCAATACTGTTTTATCATTAATTATGTTATTCCTTCAATTCTATGAAACCTTAATTATATTTATCAAGATAGACTCTAAGCTCTCCAATGCGCCCTCCCTTCTAATGCCCTCTAAGCACCAATTCCCGATCAGACCCTTAATCTCTACTTCAGTCTAGTTATCCGAGTATGTGATTGTTACAGACCTAGCCCATACCAAGCCCATACCAGTGCTATAAGTCCAGGTGTAGAACTCACTCCTAAAAGACCAACCGATTAGGAGGAGGGAACACCTTACTTATAAGCCACCGGTCAAGCCCATACTTGACCGGTGTGGGATCGTAACAATACCACACACTTCGAAGAGCCAGCGTCCTCGTTGGTCACGGTTATGTTGGTCACGATTGGCACCCCCAGGGCCCAAGCCACCACTCCAAAGGCCACCACTTCGAGTGTCGGGACCAGGAAGATGGGGACGGCTCTGATACCAATTGTTACGGACCTAGCCCATACTAGGCTCATACCAGTGCTATAAGTCCAGGTGTAGAACTCACTCCGAAAAGACCAGCCGATTAGGAGGAGGGAACACCTTACTTATAAGCCACCGGTGAAGCCCATACTTGACTGGTGTGGGATCGTAACAGTGATTGTTTTCCCTAGCTGCAGCTTGTAAAAAGGGAGGATGTTTGCCTCTAAGCCAGCTTTAAAAGCCACTTTTAAAAAATTAGTCCATTTTGTGAAGATCTTGCTAATGATATTAATTAATGGTTAAAAGGAGTGAGTTTTTCTCATCGTGTTTACTGTTGATTGCACAAGTCGCATATTGAAGAATGGGTCGGGAATTTGTTTCTGCAATGAAAGTCATATACAATCCTCATGCTGATGTTGTCTATATAATTTCCAAATTGACATTGTCTAATCGACACAATAAGAATGTTATTATCCCTTTGACTAGAGTATTTTTGGGTGCAGGAACATGCTGCTAGAACAAATATCTGAATTGCCACATGCACCTAGCGTACCATTCCAGACGACACCTTCCACAATTGGCGTACCCGAAGAGGTTTGTATTATATAGATAGACAGATTCACAGCTCCTCTTTCATTATGTTTTTCCATCTGTCAGTCAGCCAGTCACCCGATGGTACAGAGAGAAGAAGACATGGATCAAAGGCCTAACCCTCGCATATGGAATGGAAATGATTGTTCATCTGAAGGGGAGGAAGATGAAAAGCCTCGCCTGCGAAGGAGTTCTGATTCAAATGCCACTCCCAATGAAAACTCTAACTTGAGGTATGACCTTCTAAAGTCTTAAAAATGTAACAGTGTATTGTTTAACTTCAGATTTGATAAACATTTTGCTGTCTCTTATCTATCTTCCTCCTTAAAAACAATGTTTCTTATTGAAAAAGCATAGCACATTTTATGCAAGATTGCAAATTATTATACTACTTCGATGGTCATATTTGAGTAAGCGGTTTTAATATGTGCTTTGTGTTTTGGAAACCTTGTGGTTTTAGAAAAGTGCTTTTTTGTGTTTGAAAAAGTGTTCCAATGGCTGTTTTAGTGGCTGTTCCAATGCATGAAATGATTCCATTTTTCATGCAGTTTGCGAACAAATGCTACAAACAAGTTAAATCAGATTAGGGAAAATTGTCAATTTGGTCTTCGTACTATGACGAAAAAGTCAATTAGGTCTGCATCCCTTAAAAAAATCAATCAAATCCCCACTTTGAAAAAAAAAGTTTAAATGAGTCAAGTAGCAGGTTACCTGCCATGTCAGCAGATCACCCGCTGACGTGGCACACACGTGGCGGTCCATGTGTGCATCACGCCATCAGTAAATGACTGACTAAGCTTCCACATGTGTGCCACGTCAGCAAAGTCAATGTTGACCGGGCTGCCATATGTGTGCTACATCAGCAGATGACTTGCGGACGTGGCGGGTAACTTGCTAATAGACTCAATTGAACGTTTTTACAAAGTTCGGTGATTTGATTGATTTTTTTATAAGTACAAGGACTTAATTGATTTTTTCATGATAGTACGGGGACCAAATTGACAGTTTTTTCCATATGATTAATATAAAGTTACATTAACAAACAAATTTGGAAATATAAGTTGGATTCCATGACTTTCATGTCACGAATATTATGAGAAAACATACAAAAAAAACTAAGAAACAAGATTGTGGAAAAGCTCAGATGCCTGTAATTCACATTTATATAGACAAGAAATAAATACATGAACAAGAAAGCAAATCAAGAGATCTCCACAATTAGTGCAAAAGATCCCTACAATTAATGCCTAATGAAATCTTCCTATAATTAAGCAATTTCAATAAAACAACAATAATATTTTTACTGATTCTCATTGACACCCCCTCGAATTGATGTGGTTGATCAACAAGCATTAGTTTGCCTCCAAGAAAGTGATGATGCGCACAAGAGCCTTTGTGAAGATATCGGTCACCCGAAGATTCGTGGATACATGGGGCAAAGAAATAGCTTGATATTCAAACGTTTCACGAATAAAGTGACAATCAACCTCAATGTGTTTTGTAAGCTCATGATAAACAAGATTAGCAATAATGTGAATAGCGCTAGTGGTGACTATTAACGTCATGCAATGATGCAGGCCGTAACTATACAATCTTTGATTAGGCTACTAACATATTTAGAAATAGCACAATATTTTGACTCAGAAGAAGATTTAGAAACCCAATTTTATTTCTTTCTTTTCCAGGAAACAAGAGTCGGACCCACAAACATGCAATATCATGTGGTCGGGCGATGAGTGCCTGCTCATCCAGACTAACATCATTACTATAGGCGGACAGTTCAGGAGAAGTAGAGTAAACATGAGTTTTTTTCCGTATTAATGCTAATTAATTAAATATTTACAAAAATAGGATTGGATTAAAAGTATTTACGGATATACTGCTGGGCTTAACCCTGGTCGGGGTAAGTCGCCCAACCGTTGGGCGACTTATAAGTCGTCATCCGGTTTGGCGACTTATAAGTCGCCCAACGGTTTGGCGACTTACCCATAAATTAAAGAACCGGGTTAAGCTCAAGAAGTCATTGTGAACCTCAAGAACCCACCAGTCCAGTCCAGTATCGAGAAAGAAAGTTTTTTAAAAAAAAAAGAAAGAAAAGAGAGGCAAAATTGTCTTTTGAGACCCGCTGAATTTTACGACTATCGTGTCCGCAGGGGGTGCGAATTTTCGATTCTGAACTAGAAGCCGGAATTCTTGTGTGCGCGAGAGCTCCCCTCTTCTCATTCACCTCTTAATACTAAGTGAGGAGTGGTTCATATTTATAGGCTCAAAAGTTCCCAAGGAGTTTAGGTGTGGGAAAGTTTAAAAGATTCCTTTTTCTCCTATACTTGAGCATTTTTCCATCTACCTTCTTTGAGAGCTAGTTTTTGAGCCACTTCAAATTTCAAAGTCCAAAACTCCAATACCAAAGGTCAACACTACAATCAAAGCTTCCAAGAGTCAATCTTGAGATTAAAAAAAAAATCTCAAGGTTAAGACTACTTTTCTCAAACTCCAAGCTACATTTCAAGGTCTAGAAATTTGCAGAATATTTCAATCAACCTTACGTCTACGGTCAACATTCAACAATCAGCAATGGATGTCTCTAACTCATCAATGTGTAAGAACAAATGCCCTAAAGTTTGTGATGAGTCTGAGATAAGCAAATCTGACAGTAAACAAATAATCAACAACTTGGAAGACATGTTAGATAACAACTACAGAAACCTACTTAAAAATCTTGACAAAGTTTCCTCCTTGAGTGTACAATTAGACTCAAGGAGGAAAATGTGAATATGTGAATTTTACAGATGACATTTGGAATGTAAACATTGTCAGTTTCGGGTTTTTCAGAAATAGGTTTTTCTTCCCCTGCAGACTCAGACTCACTTGCTGGAGGAAAAAGTGATACATAGTCACCAGACAAAGGAATTTCCCTAGTCTTATAACTATCATTCAGTTTAGTGTAATCAAACGAGATTTCAGCCTTAGGATTATTTTCTCTCTTTTCCTTTTCTTCGGCATCAGTTTCTGATGCTCCCACGAAGTACATGAGTTTTGTCAAACCCAAGCCCATGTATCCAATGTTATAAAGTTGACTTTCTTTAAGTTGCATGGGTTTTGGAAACCTAAGCCTTCCTTAAGATTGTAGAAAGTGGTGTCTTTAGGCTGATTTAAGAAAATAGTTTGTTCTGTTTGACCTCTCTTAGCAAGTAAGTCCTCCAACTCCTTGATCATAGAATATAATTTGCTTCGTTGCGCATGAATAAAATCAAAATTGTTTTTCCCTATGATGCATTCAAGTTCAGAAGCTTTCAACTGTTTAGTTAAGTCACAGACTTTTACTTCGAACTTTTCCTTTTCTAAGGTCACCTTCTTAACCCTTTCTTTTTCGTTTTCTAATTGTACACTCAAGGAGGAAACTTTGTCAAGATTTTTAAGTAGGTTTCTGTAGTTGTTATCTAATCTGTCTTCCAAGTTGTTGATTATTTGTTGACTGTCATATTTGCTTATCTCAGACTCATCAGAAACTTTAGCGCTTTTGTTCTTACACATTGATGAGTTAGAGACATCCATTACTGATTGTTGAATGTTGACCGTAGACGTGAGGTTGATTGAAATTTACTGCAAATTCCTGGACCTTGAAATGTAGCTGGGAGTTTGAGAAAACTAGTCTTAACATAGTCACATGGATCGCGGTACACATCGGTACGCGGTATGAAAACGGGAACGCGGTTCGCTAATATAAAAAAAACGATACGCAGGGGGTAGGCTTCTTGGGTACGCTAGTTCGGTACGCGGTACGGTGTACCATAAACATATACTACCTACAATTTACTGTGTATTAAGTACAAACTATAAATGTAATAAATATAATATAATACTAGTACTAAACAATTAACTTCAACAAAACATTAAACAAAAAGTCTGAAATACTTAAACAAATAAAGTAACTATTTTTTTTGAAGACAACAAATAAAGTAACTATAATTAACAAAAGTAATTAAAATATTAAGGACGAAGTCTAAGGTTCTGAACCGTCTCTTTAAAACTTTTGTGTAACAAAAAAAAACAATTCAACCGTCTCTTTGGAGTCTGGAAGGAAGTACGAAAGTCAAGAAGGGTCATTTAGATTTCAGAGGTACGAAATTACGAATAGGAAAGAGTCATTTAGACTTTAGAAGTCGCGTCACTTGGACTGCTGGATCGTCGTCCGCTAAGGGAAACTTGCGAATGATGAACAGGATACGGCGAACCACCTGCAAGTGAAGCGCGAACTGCGACCGAAATCCGCCGTACCTGAGTCGCGACCCAGCAGCGACCGGCGCGCAACTGTACCGCGATCCGGTACGCGCGATCCGGAACGCAAAACGCGGGCACCTCAGCGATTTCTGTATCTATGGTCTTAACCTTGAGATTTTTTATTTTTTTAATCTCAAGGTTGACTCTTGGAAGCTTTGATTGTAATGTTGACCTTTGGTGTTGGAGTTTTGGACTTTAGAGTTTGAAGTGACTCAAAAACTAGCTCTTAAAGAAGGTAGATGGAAAAATGTTCTTCTCAAGTATAGGAGAAAAAAGAATCTTTTAAACTTTCTCACACCTAAACTCCTTGGGAACTAAAGAGGGGAGCTCTCGCGCACATAAGAATTCCGGCTTCTAGTTCAGAATCGAAAATTCGCACCCCCCCTGTGCGGGCGACCTTCGGACACGATAGTCGTAAAATTCAGCGGGTCTCAAAAGAAAATTTTGCCCCTCTTTTTTTTTTTTTTAAACTTTCTTTCTTGATACTGGACTAGTGGGTTCTTGAGGTTCACAGTGACTTCTTGAGCTTAACCCGGTTCTTTAATTTATGGGTAAGTCGCCAAACCGTTGGGCGACTTATAAGTCGCCAAACCGGATGGCGACTTATAAGTCGTCCAAGGGTTTGGCGACCTACCCCAACCAGGGTTAAGCCCAGAAGTATATCCGTAAATACTTTTAACCATGTGGTTGTCACGTTGTCGACTAGGCGTCGCCTAGGCGCCGACTAGGCGTCCTGGCGATGAAGAAGGGTCGACATGGGAGATCGACTCGCCAGAAGAAGATAAGTCGCTCCTGACGTCATCCAGGCGTCGACATGTCGTCCAGGCGCAGTCTAGGCGCAAGCCAGGGGAAATTAAAATCTCAAATTCTCAATAAATTCGAGTTTAGAAGCCCAGCCCAAAATATGATTTAGAAAGTAGAAATTTAGGAACTGAAGCCTTCTGAGAGTCTGAAACCCGAAGGACAATCATCGACTCTTAAAACTTGAAGGCCAATCAACGACTCCCAAACACAGAGCATCACTAGTCGCTACTTCTCTTATGTGTGCCTCTGTCGCAAGGTTGAAGACGACCTGCAGTTGTTGCTTTATCCTGCGTCGCAAGGTTGAAGACAACCTGCGATCCTGAGTCGCAAGGTTGAAGACGACCTTCGCTTCTTGTCCCGCCTTTTATTTTAGCGGCTCTTCACTTTTCACTTTATGTCTATATACTTCTTATTCTAGTACTACGTATATTAATGCTCCGTATGTTGTATATGCAATTAAGCACTAAGTAGTATACCCACTAAAGTAGTTTAATTAATTAAGTTGTACACATAGTCGAATGATTTTTTTTATATATACATGCATACATAAACCTATTTTCCATTTATTAATTGTTGGTTCAATTCTAGGTAATATACAATTTAATTAGTAATATATCATACGTAGTAATGTAGTATATAATAAATTGCAAATTAAATACATTCAAATATATATATAAATATTAATATATATGAAATATAATATATTATATAATGTGCGACTGATCGCCTAGGTGGGCGCCTTGTCGCCTAGGCGATATGGCGGTCGGCTGGCGCTGCGACTCGACTTACCGCCGTGACAAGTATGCTTTTAACCCAACCCTATTTCGTAAATAGTTAATTAATTAGCATTAACCCGGAAAAAACTTAGTAAAAATGTACATTGGTAGCAGTGCCTGGTTAACAAATACTACATTGGTTTGCAGTCATATTGGAGCTGATGAGGCAACATCAAAGCTTTAGTTTCGTAAGAGTTTGCGGTTGGCTAACATGAACCGACATATGAAATCAAAGCTAAAAGATAAAGATTAAACAAGATAAAATAGAAAGATAATATAAAAAAGGTAAAAAAAGATAATATTAGATCAACTCTTGACATGTATATTCTTCCTTCATTTTGCTCTCTCCGAAGTCATACTCTCAACTGACCTAAGAAGTATCATATCATTTATGACCCCTCTAATCCACGAATGTCTGAGTCTTCCCCTCCTCTCCTCTCCACCTCTCTTACCCACCTCTCATTTCGTCTAACAGGTGCATCACTCGATCTTTTACACACATAGCCAAACGACCGCAATTGACACTCACATATTATCTTCAGTCGGTGCTACTCCAACATTTTACTTGATTGTCGCATTCCTGCGGTCTTTTTTAGTATGTGCACACATCAAACACAACATGCACATCTCAACCACACTCATCATCACATTGTTTCACCGCCCAACACTCTATGTCGTCCAATAATGCGAGCTTAATTACTGTACGATAAGTTTACCCCCAGAGATGACGAGGGTTATGAAGAAATTGGTTAAGTTGTTGCACAACAAAACAGAGATCTGGACTAGTAGTCGTAAGATACACTCAACTGCCCACAAGCATACGATACACTATAGGGTCTAGAATATCTTTGTCGTTTTTTAAGGTTCAACATTTAGCTTTATTGGAGTATCAATTGGAGAAGTGCCAAGAAGACATGCAGAATCAATGAGTTCACGAGCGTATTTGGTTTGATTTAGAAAGATGACAGTTGGACTAAGAGTAACCTCGAGTCCCAGAAAATATGAAAGCCCACCGTGATCCTTCATGTTAAAGGAGCAATGTTGGTGTTGTATCATGGGTTGTAATATGAGTCCGAAGTATGGTGACTATAATTGTCAATAAAGGTAACAAAATGTGTTATGAGAATGAGACACAATAGGAGAGATCCCCCAATCATCACTATGAATGAGATAAAAAACAATGGGAAACACGATACCATTAAACGAGAAAAGTAAGAAATTTGCATTTACCTAGTTTGTAGGACGCACAATCAAAGTGAGAAGGAATATTATTTTTATTACCCAAAAAACAAAGGTATAACAGATGAGAAAGAACGATACACTATAGGGTCTAGAATATCTTTGTCGTTTTTTAAGGTTCAACATTTAGCTTTATTGGAGTATCAATTGGAGAAGTGCCAAGAAGACATGCAGAATCAATGAGTTCACGAGCATATTTGGTTTGATTTAGAAAGATGACAGTTGGACTAAGAGTAACCTCGAGTCCCAGAAAATATGAAAGCCCACCGTGATCCTTCATGTTAAAGGAGCAATGTTGGTGTTGTATCATGGGTTGTAATATGAGTCCGAAGTATGGTGACTATAATTGTCAATAAAGGTAACAAAATGTGTTATGAGAATGAGACACAATAGGAGAGATCCCCCAATCATCACTATGAATGAGATAAAAAACAATGGGAAACACGATACCATTAAACGAGAAAAGTAAGAAATTTGCATTTACCTAGTTTGTAGGACGCACAATCAAAGTGAGAAGGAATATTATTTTTATTACCCAAAAAACAAAGGTATAACAGATGAGAAAGAACGATTCAGGTGGCCAAGTCTCCTATTTCACATCGATCATGAGTATGTTACATGAAAAAGCAAAAGAACTCAGCTAAATCTAGTAAAACGTAATGGAAAGAGATGTCCCCAACCCTAGGGGTCAGGGCCCTTCGTTATCAGCTCTCCTCACACCAGATCTTGCACAAGACATCCATGAGAAGAAAACTTCATGTCACATTTATCATCAATAAGTTGCCCGACAGAAATGAGGCTTGTAGATAAATTGGGACAGACAAATGCATTTTTAACTCGATGAGAAACATCATGAATTGCAATAGTAGACAACTTATTATCATCGGTAGTGTCAATAGAAGAATCATCATCATATTTCGAATATTATTGGAGGCCATGTATCGAAGAAGTCAAATGATTGGAGGCTCTAGAATCTAGAAACCAATTAGAGTGGAGAATATAAGTACCTTGAAACCCAGTGCCGAGAAAGCAGACATTATAATTTGTTATACCATTTCAGGTGTGACTGAAGCTTTTATGGTAGCCTGATATGCAGCATTTTGCGATGGGGTGGGTTAATAGTGCAATCTTTGATGATGTGCTTGAGCTTCTTGCAAAGCTACAAATCTTATTAGGACAGTTTTGTGCAATGTCACTCTAGTTCTTGCAAGAGAAAAAACCATGTTAGAATTTGTGAACATTTTTGGGTCGATGAGAGTATGACTTTGGAGAGAGCAAAGTGGAGGGCGCATATTTGTGTGGTGGATTGATCACTTTTCTTTTACTCCCTCCGTCCCAGAATTATCTTCATATTTACTATTCACATGGTCAACTCAAATTACTCTTAATCGTTTACTTTCCATATCAAATTTTTATCAAATTTAAATTTTCTTGATCAGACTTTGTAGCGATTTTGATGTAATTTCTGAATATGTAAATTTTATTTACTAAAAGTAATATGAGTGTGAACATGGATCAAATTGTTTTATCGTCAGTCAAGCATCGTAAACCGAACTATGAAGATAAATATGGGACGGAGGGAGTATCTTCTTTGTCTTTCTCGTGTTCTTGTGTTGTTTTTATCTTTTATCTTTCTTATGTTCTTTTATCTTTTATCTTTATCTTATCCTTTTTATCTTACCTTTTCTTTTTATTTTTCCTATTTTTCTTTTTTTATTGCTTCGATATCATGGATTGATTTATGTTAGTTGATCCCATAAACTTCTGGGAATAAGACTTGGATGTTGTTGGGATTTATGATCAAGAACAAATTCTACAGAAAAAGGCTTTGTGACTTTCATACCGTGTCACAAAAAACCATGAAGAACTAAGAAATGAGATTGTGGACAAGTTGATATGCCTTGCTCAGTTGTATATTCACATTTATATAGGAAAAGAAATAAATACACGTTAAAGGAAACAAACAAAGAGATCCCCACAATTAATGAAAGAGATCTCTACAATAAATGTCTAATGAAATATTCCTATACTTAAAAAATTTTAATAAAAACGACATTTTAAAAGGTATGTCTTGCCAAAATTAACAAGTTGTACCTTGACGAAGCATGACTTTTTTGTTTGGACGGAGGGAATGTCTTAAAATGTTCTGTCAAACACATACAACCACATAACTCTAAATTAAGTTGCACTTAACCAAACACCCACGGTTGTGATATGGTATTTTTGTTCAGGCCTTCAGGTGTTGTTCCATATTTAATCTGTAACCCTAGCTTGTCCGAAAACTGAATGGCTTCCATAAACTTGTGTCACAGAGACTTCTTTGGCGATAAAGATATGATTGATGCTGATAGTTAGAGGGCCGCTGACAATTGTGTGGTAGCTGAAAAAACGTTGCCAGCTGACCATCAAGTTTGAGAAACGACAAATAGCAGTAATTATTTAAGTAAATAGGTAAAAATGTGACCCTTGGCTGGCTCACAGATTTAAATAGTTTGTTATTTTAACGATTATTATTATCTGCCTCCTATGACTCTAGTTAGTGTCGCTGTAATGTTAACGTTTTCACTTGAGTACGTTAGAAAAGTTTATCGTAGTTTTTTTGCTATGCATTCATACTGCCATGTTCGGACTGGTAAAATTTGTGCAACGAAATTGCTGAGAAAATGTGGCTCGAATTGGACTGAACTGAAAACGAATTTATACACATATTTTTTCTTTAAGATGTACGGAGTACTCCGTACTTCATATGTAGTTTTCATGCAGTCCATATTTTTTTAAAGTAATGAAAAATGTATTTCAAATATGGATATTTTATATTTGGGGTAATTTGAGTTTGCACCCCATTTTATTGTCCAAATTGGACTTTGCATCCTGTTTTTAAAAGTCTTTGTTTTTGCACCCCCAACCCCATATGAAAAGACAAAAATGTCCTCCATCAGGAATATGTTGAAGGCCAACAAAATGGTTAATGAAGAGGAAAAAAAACAATTTTTCTCCCTAAAAACGGGGTACAAAAACAATGTTTTTTTAAAACGGGATGCAAAGTCCAATTTGCACAATTAAATGGGGTGCAAACTCAAATTACCCCAAATATAAACTATCCATATTTGAAATACATTTTTCATTACTTTAAAAAAAATATGGATTGCATGAAAACTACGTATGAAGTACGGAGTACATCTTAAAGAAAAAATATGTGTATACATTCGTTTTCAGTTCAGTCCAATTAAAGACAATGTAAAATTCCAAATTGAAGTAGTATGTTTTTTCAAAAATAGGAGTATGTTACTGCTATCTTGAAAATTTACTATCATATTTTAGGATTATAAGGCCTTAAATATTGTTGTATACCACCGTAATTAATACGGAGTAGTATTTGTAATTTTGTATCTTTCAAGTTTCAAGCTTGCTGTAATTCCTTTTCCTGTTCGCTTTGATATCTTATATCGTTTCATGATAGATGACTCCAAAAATCTTTTAAGATTAAAACTTGGATGTTTTTTATTTTTTGCTCATAAAATAACAACTTAAATTAGGCATAGAATTAGTTACTCTTGCTAATACATGAGTAGACCTACCCGTAGTCCGCTTATAATATTTTATCTCAAACTCAGAATTAAGGCTCAATAAATATTTGATGTCACCTAAAATAAGCCCAAAGTAGTACTCCCTCCGTCCCATAATTATCTTCATTCTTTCCTTTTTGGTCCGTCCCATATTTATCTCCTCTTTCCCTTTTTAGCAAAGGATTTGTGGTTCACAACCATTCTTACACATTTCTCTCTCCTCTGCACAACTCTCCACCACACATTTCTCACTTTCTTAATCTCCGTGCCCAGTCAAAACCGAAGTTAATTCTGGGACGGAGGGAGTATTCCCCTAGAACAGAAAGAACTCAAACAACATCAAGGGTAGGGCTGGACTGAACCGGGCCGGTTCGGGCCTCGGGCTTGGGCCCAGCCGGGCCTCAGTTCAGAAATATGAGGCCCGAGCCTGAACCGGGGGTGGGCGGTTCTGGGTCCGGTTCCGGGCCGGTTCATCCGGGTATTTAATTTTTTTTTTTTTTTGGCTTCTTTTATTTAACCCCTAACCCTCCCCCTCAACCCCAAACCACCCCAAACCACCTCAAATGGCCCAAAATACCTAATCCAACCCAAAACTTAAAAAATTTTCAAAAAAAAAATATTAATAATAATTCCGGCCCGGACCGGTAGGGCGGTGCACGGGTCGGGTTCGGGCGGGTCGGGTTTGCGAACCCTAAACCCGTTCGGGTTTTTTAATTTAAATACTAGGCCCGACCCTTTGATATTTCGGATCGGGTATTTCGGATATTTTTAAGTCGGATATTATCGGATATTGGGTCGGGTTTCGGATATTTCGGTTATATTAAAAAAAAATATAATTGAATAATTAAAGTGTTTAATTCCACTTTGACAAAAATTGTACACACTAGTGCACTAAACATCCAAATTACACAAATAATTTAACCCAAATTGCACAAATAATTACACAAATAATTGAACACAAGTATTAATTTAACATATTCAAAGTACACGCTACATAATTTAATATACTTCGAATATTTCGGTTATATTAAAACACATTATAATTGGATAATTAATGTGTTGGGATGCCACTTTGACAAAAACTATACACACTAATGCACTACACATTCAATCTACACAAATAATTTAATACAAATTGCACAATATAATTAGATTAATTACACAAATAATTGGATGCAAGTATTAATTTACCATATTCAAAGTACACACTAACATATATTTCGGATATTCGGGCGGGTCGGGTTGGGATTTTACAAACCCTACCCGCCACCCGATCTAGACCCAATATTAATCGGATTTTCAGTTTCGGGTTTTTCGGGTCGGATATCCACTTCGGTTCGGATAATATCCGAAAAAAATATCGGGTTTTTCGGGTCGGATCGGGTTTTGCTCAGCCCTACGGACCGGGCCCAAACCGGCCGGGCCGGTTCACCAAATGGAAGGCCCGGGCCCGAAACCGGTATCCACCGGGCCGGTTCGACCCGAACCGCCGGTGGACCGGGCCACCGGGCCGGGCCGGTTGCTACAGTGGGCGGGCCGGGCCGGTTCCGGGTCGGGCCGCCCGGCCCGAGTCCAGCCCTAATCAAGGGCATCTGTCTCAAACATCACTCTAGAGTCTAGACCACCTCATCTCTGTTGAATGACTCTTTGCAATCCCAAAGCTTTTGACTCTTTTGGGTTCCAAGTTGCTTGTACCACTGATGACACTAAAGTCGTAGTGTGCCTCAAAATAATACTCGTATTCAATACTAACACTATTACGTAGTATAGTGTAGTAAGATTTATATACGCATGGATATGTATGAACTAGTAACCAAAACAGGTGGGGTTTCAAGATTTTTTTGAGATTAAAATTGATGAGATTAAAAGACTTGACTTTGCTACTTTCCCCTTAATGAAATGTTTGTCGATCCCGGTTATATCTTTAACTTATCTCTCTCGAATACTCAACCGATAAGTATATCCAATTCATCGAGGGCAGTTATTAATAACGAGACCGTTCATTAACAACTCTTATTATTAGCCAAATACAGAACATCGCCATATACCGACTTGATAGTGACATTTAATTTCTCAACTCCTTGATGAAATCAATTGAAATTTATAACCTAAACACAATGGTTATGATTTAACCAACACAATTAATCCTTTTTAAGATTATTAATCATGAGACCATGCATTAATAACTCTAAGTTACTTGTGAAACCATCAATGATTAATCATCGGTTCATTGATCGTTTGTAAAAGTAATTAATGTCAAGACATTAATTAATCGTCACTTAGCAACACTCCAACATTAATATAAAGATTGGATAAGGAATAATTAATATTCAAGAGAAGAAATTAAGAAAATAACTTACAACTTTAACATTCAACAAGTTTCAAGAGCAAAATCAAGTAAGATCCCTCCCATTAACTTTCAAAATAATATTTTTTTAGATGAATAAAGAAAGTCCACATATGTGTCCAACCCATCCACCCGTTCACTGTAATTTCCCCAACAATCGGTAACAACTTTTTACAGAATAGTTACCTCTAGCCTCATCCACCCACATGAAAGCATCCCTAACTTTTTACAGAATAGTTACTAATAAGAATTGAAAATAAATAATATGAACTGAGGTAATAGAAGAGAAAATATGTATCTGTTTCATAATTTAGACTGGCGCACAGGCCTCATATATATACATGCACGTACAGTTCGGTAACGAAGGAAAAGTAATATAAAAGGAACTAAATAATTGAGGCAATCACTATCACAAAGGAAGTAAATCACTGGTGGAATTAATAAAACGGATATTTCCGTTTATGGTAGCTCCAAGAATCATGCAGCAATATATTCTATGCGTTAATACTCCCCCTCAAGCTGGAGTGTGGAGATTGTGAACACCAAGCTTGCCACGAAGATACTGAAACCGGTCAGATCCAAGAGGTTTGGTAAAAACATCAGCAACTTGATGTTGAGTTGAAATGGATTGGGGCAGAATTTCTTTGCTGATAACTCGTTCACGGACAAAATAACAGTCCATCTCGACGTGTTTGGTACGTTCATGATAGACAGGATTTGTTGCAATGTGGCGGGCAGCTTGATTGTCGCAAAATAATGGTGTGGGTGAAGATAGAAAAACTCCAAAGTCTCGAAGTAGCCAACGTAGCCAAATGATTTCACTCACTGTGATGGCCATAGATCGGTATTCCGCTTCCGCAGACGAGCGTGAGACTACTGCTTGTTTCTTTGTGCGCCATGAAATAGGAGATCCGCCTAAGGTGATGAAATATCCTGAACTGGAGCGGCGGGTGAATGAGCAACCTGCCCAATCTGCATCACAAAAGCCTTTCAAGTCAAAATTGTTTTGGCTGATCAAAAGAATCCCTTGCCCGGGCGTGCCTTTCAAGTATCGCAAAACACGATAGGCTGCCGCCATGTGACTTTGACGCGGCGAGGAAATGAACTGGCTTAATTGATTTACGGAGAAGACAATGTCAGGTCGCGTCACAGTAAGGTAGAGTAGGCGACCAATTAATCGGCGATAAGTTCCGGCATCCACGGCCGGGCTATCATCATCAGGCCGTAACTTAAGATTTTGTTCCATAGGAAATGAGCTTGGCCGACTTCCTTGCATCCCGGTTTCTTCTAATATGTCCAAAGTGTATTTCCGTTGGCTGAGGACAAAACCAGCTGAAGAACGAGCCACTTCGATTCCCAGAAAGTACTTGAGAGGACCAAGATCTTTGATGGTGAATTTATCATCAAGGTACTTCTTAACTTGCGTAATGTGATCCATAGTGTTTCCAGCAAGTAAAACATCATCAACATATATAAGAGCAGCTGTATAAATAGTTCCCCGTTGATAAATAAAGAGAGAATGATCGGCTCGAGATTGGCGAAAACCAATGCATGTGAGCGCATGCGTAAATTTTTGGTACCAATTTCTCGATGCCTGTCGTAATCCATATAAGGATTTCTTTAGTTTGCACACACGAGTATCACCTTTCTTTGCAAAACCTTGCGGTATGCGCATGTAGACATCTTCGTGCAGATCGCCATGCAGAAATGCATTATTCACATCAAGTTGATGGACAATCCAATTTCGTTTTGAGGCGACAGCAAGCATGCAACGTATAGTAACGAGTTTTGCTACAGGGGCAAATGTCTCGTGAAAATCGATGCCTTCGATTTGTGTGAAGCCTTTGGCAACAAGACGTGCCTTATAACGCTCAACGTCCCCATTGGGCTTATATTTGATCTTATAAACCCATTTGGAGTCTATAATTCGCTTTCCTGGTGGAGGATGTACCAAGGTCCATGTTCCATTGTCTTCGAGCGCTCGAATTTCCTTTTGCATGGCTTCCTTCCATAAGGGGTCCTGAATAGCCTGGGAGAAATATTTAGGCTCATCACGCGAGGTGATGGCCGCTAAGAATGCCCGGTGAGCTGGAGAAAATTTATCATAGGAAAGGAAATGTGTAAAAGGATGTACCGTCGAGTGAGTGTGATTGGAGTGAGATGTCGATGGATCAAGCGAGGGTGGCAATGAAATCTCGTAGCTGTCCAGATGCTTGGGACGTCGGCGTAAACGATCACTGCGACGATTATCCTCAATTGGAAATTCGTTGGTGGGTTGAGAGGCTGACTCATGCTCATTTGGGATGTCCGTATTCTCATCATGCGATGGAGTGGATGCTTCTGATGTGGGCTGCATGGGTGTGATGTCACTGCGAATGGCTGGGCGTGCATAGTCTGTGGCAGAAGGGGCAGAAACTCCCATGACATGTTTGAGTGCTAAACGAATATGGTCATCAAATGATTGCACACTCATGGATGGGCCGTGTTTGAAAGGAAAAATTCCTTCAAAAAACGTGACGTCTCTCGAAGTATAAATCTGCTGAGTGCATAAATCAAATACTTTGTACCCCTTTTGCCCATTTGGATACCCAATAAAAATACAAGGACTCCCCCTTGCATCAAATTTGTCCTTTCTTTTGTTGTCATGAGCATAAACCAAACATCCAAATATCCGGAGACGATCATAATCGGGTTGTTTGTGAAGCAGCATCTCATAAGGGCTTTTATTAGAAATCACAGGTGAAGGAAGACGGTTTATAATGTAAACCGCAGTGAGAACACATTCTCCCCAGAACTCAATGGGCAACCCTGACTGAAAACGTAGAGCTCGGGCGACCTCCAAAATGTGACGATGTTTTCTTTCAACAACGCCGTTCTGTTGTGGAGTGTCAGTGCAAGAGGTTTCAAGAATAATCCCATGAGCATCATAATAATCAAGCAAAACATGAGATTGAAATTCCACACCATTATCCGTGCGGATACGTTTAATATTGCGATCAAATTGTGTCGCAATCATATTACAAAAATGCATTAGGAGGCGCGCCACATCTGACTTAGCATGCATAAGGTATACCCAAACACTACGAGTAAAATCATAACCTATAGTGAGGAAATAACGCGCTCCTGTGAGAGAAGTGCATTTGTATCCACCCCAAATATCACAATGGATTAAATCAAAACTCTGATGCGTTTTAATAGAACTAGTTGGAAAGGGGATACGAGTCTGTTTGGCTCGAACACAGGAGTCACAGAATAAATTATTCCTCTTAAAACCTTGTAAAAAATCAATATGACAAAGTTTATTATCAGAAGCATGCCCTAAACGTTGGTGCCAAATTTCGCTTTGGGAAGAGACCATCATTGCCACCCGCTTGTTGATGAAGTCATCAAGATAATATAGTCCATTTCGACATCTACCCACCCCAATCAGCTTCTTCGAGGCTAAGTCCTGTATTACACAAAAACCTCGAAAAATGTGAGTGTACAATTATTCTCTTTAGTAAGGCGACTCACGGATAAAAGATTGCAGTGGAAGGAAGGAATAAAAAGAACCCGTGGTAGTATTAAATCATTTGACAGATTAATACGACCGACCGAATGAACAGGTATAACATCACCGTTTGGTATCCGAACAGGAGATTCAGAGGAATTCCTGATGAGATCAGAAAGTCTGGCACTATCACAAGTAATGTGTTCGGATGCCCCAGAATCTATTATCCATGAAGGTGTGAACCGTTGTTTACCTGCCATATTTACTTGTCCTTCCATAGAAGTATCATTGGTTGCACTGGGAGGGCTAAATTCTAGCCGCATAAATTCTGCCAGGCGCTGAAGCTGATCAGAAGAGAGTCCCATCACTGAATTGTCAGGAAAGTCAACATGGGCTGCCTTTGGTTGACTGCCCCTTTTTTGAGAAATCCCACGGTCTGTGCTTCGTGTGTGATGCTCTCCAGGACGTCCTTCCCTCTGTCGGCCACTATGTGGTTTGGTGTCTTTTCCTCGTACATTCCAATTAGCCGGGTAACCCACAATTTCAAAACAGGTTTCATAGCTATGATTTGTTTTGCCGCAGTGCGTGCAAAAACGTCCGTCCTTATTACTCACCTTCCGGCCACCATCAATTAATGGTTTCCCTTGCGTTTGGAAAGCTGCTCCTTCCAGCCCAGACTTCCTCGTTGAGGCGATGTTCCGATGTTGCTCTCCTTCGGAAATTAGGTGGTACGCAAAGGTCAACGTGGGAATCGGTCGAGTGGCCAGTATCTGGGATTTGAGAGATGCATAATAATCATCCAGGCCCATTAAAAAGTCATAAAGATGTTCGCGGTCACGGATTTCATTCATCCTTTTGACCAAGTTGCACGTGCATTTGCCACAGTCACACGTTGGAGCCTTGGTTATCGAAGCCATCTCATCCCATATCTTTCGCAGCCGGCTAAAATAAGCCGACACAGATTGATTATCTTGCCGTACGGCCCCCAAAGAGCATCGGAGTTCATAAGCCCGGGGTGCACTCTCCTTCCCAAAGCGTTCTTCAAGATCTGTCCATATCTCTCGGGCCGTTTTGAATTTGACACTCTGCCGTAGTTCAAGCTCCATGCTACTGTTTAACCATCCTTTCACCATTGCATTGGCTCGTTGCCAATATGGCAAGTAGGGAGATTTTGCTTCCGGCATCGGCAAATCTCCATTCACGAACCCAAACTTGTTCTTGGCATACAAGGCGTTACTCATTTCATCGAGCCAATCACCGTAATTGCCATCTCGTAGAAGTGAAGTCACAAATACATCTCCGGGTTTATCCCCGGACTGAATGTAGTACGGCGACATGCAATCGATGGTCAATGCATGACCATCGCCATCTGCGGCATCACCGACAGCCATTTTTATATGGTCAAAGTAATATGAAATTTTATGCCAGGTTTTGTCTCTGATACCATAATAAGAATTGATAATAAATAATATGAACTGAGGTAATAGAAGAGAAAATATGTATCTGTTTCATAATTTAGAGTGGCGCACAGGCCTCATATATATACATGCACGTACAGTTCGGTAACGAAGGAAAAGTAATATAAAAGGAACTAAATAATTGAGGCAATCACTATCACAAAGGAAGTAAATCACTGGTGGAATTAATAAAACGGATATTTCCGTTTATGGTAGCTCCAAGAATCATGCAGCAATATATTCTATGCGTTAATAGTTACCTCTAGCCTCATCCAAACTCTAATCGGTATGCTCAAGACTTTTGCAAATTCATTCTCCTTAAAAATGCTTCGAATTCTCTCCTCATTCCAACACTTCTTATTCTGTGAGAGTAAAGCAACCATATTCATATCACTAATACCAGCCAGACGGTTAAAAGACACCACCAAACTTCCAACCCCGGAACTCAAGCATCTGACCAAACCCCACTAGTCGTTGTAAACCTCTGCTCACAATATCCTGAGTAGCCATAATGCTTCTCCACACAAAAGGGGGGTTAGTCCCTAGCCTAGCTTTCTCAAACAATTATTCGGAAAATGTCGAGCTTTAAAAATTCTATTTACTAGAGAACCCGGCTCTTTAATAAAACGTCGTGCTTGTTTCCTTAACATGGCTATAATAAACTCTCTTGATCATCGGAACCCTAAACCTCAAAACTTCTCAGGCACACACAATTTACTCAAAACTTCTGAGGCACACACAATTTACTTAAATCCTTCCACGCCGAGCTAAATCTGCACTCCTACACCAGTAACATTCATAATCCCTTCAACCTCATCAAACAACCCTCTAGGCGGAAGAAATACATTCATACCATAAGTCAACATTGCTTGAATACCCGTTCTTGATAGAATTTCTCTACAAGCTCTAGAGAAAATTTACCATTCCAGCTGAAGTTTATTTTATCACCCTCTCAAAAATTCAAAAATAACTTTCTTCTTTTGACCCATCGTAGTCGGAAGTCCCAGTTAATGAATAAAAATGCGTGGTTATCTTGAGAAGGGATATATGTTGTAGTGCGGGCTGATTTTTTTCTTTTTCTTTCTCTTTCTTTGCTCTACTTCTCTTGTTTTTTTTCTTCTTTTCCCGTTTCTTGTAATTTTTAATTTCTCATTATAAAACTCTACGACAACAACAACAACGTCCAAACCTTATTCCCAAAAAAATTTGGGGTCAGCTAACGTGAATTGGTCGATGATATCAGAGCCAAAAAAGAGAAGAAAGATAATAAAAATAATATAGTAAGATAAAATTGATAAGATAAAGAGAAATCTAAGAAAAACTAGCATATGAACATAAGAAAGAGAAAGGCTAAAAAGATAAAAGAACATAATAAAGATATAAGATAAAAATAACATAAGAACATAACATGATAAAGAAGATAAAAGATAAAAAAGGAAGAAAGAGAAAAGAGATCAATCGTCCACACCAATATGCGCCGTCCACTTTGCTCTCTCCAAACTCACACTCTCATCCAACCCAAAAAGAAGCATATCGGTTCTGATTCCTTTGATCCAAGTATGTTTGGGTCTTCTTTAGTCTCTCCTCTCCACCTCATCTCCCCACCTCTCAAATTGTGTAACAGGTGCATCGTCCGGTCTTCTGCGCACATGAGTGTTACATCTATAGGTGTTACTCTCACCTTTTTTCAGACTCCTGCATTTTATCTTCTATAAGTGTTACTCTCACCATTTTTGTCTGATTGTGTGTCCATACATCCAACGCAACATACACATCTCTGTCATACTCATCTTTTGAATGTGACATTGTTTCACCGCTCAACACTCTACGTCACGCGTAAATGCAGGCTTAATTGTCGCCTGATATAATTTACCATTCAGACTTGTAATAGCCCGCCCCGTAGGGCCCGGGGTAGTTACTCCTACACATCCTCTAGACCTCTAATACTGTCCTCACAAACCACCATAATCATTTTTCGCACACTTTGCCCCTCACTCATGTGTGCCCTGAGAAACTTCCCAGTGGGTCACTCATCCCAAGACCACTCCCGCGCAAGCATCTTAATATGGAGTTCTTAGCTAATGAGCTCCCTTAAAAGGAGATGCACCTTATTGGTATGAGTAGTACTATTAATACCTTTAAATTAATCTCAAGTATTACAATCATCCACACTTAGGAATGCAACGTCCTCATTGCGCCCATAAATCAATCTCAATCAAACCCCAGAATCCTCCCATGTTAAGTGTGCGCCCGGTATCCAACGGGTCAACACACTGTCGCAGGGTTGCTCTGATACGACTTGTAACACCCCGCCCCGTAGGGCCCGAGGTAGTTACTGTTACACGCCCTCTAGACCTCTAGTATTGTCCTCACAAACCACCAAGTGTCTTTTCCGCACACTTTGTCCTCACTCGTGTGCGCCCAAAGAAACTTTCCAGGAGGTCACCCATCGCAAGACTACTCCTATGCAAGCACACTTAACTTGGAATTCTTAGTTGATGAACTGTCTTAAAAGGAGATGCACCTTGTTTGTATGAGTAGTACTTTTAATCCCTTTACATTAATCTCAAGTATTACAAGTCTAATCAGCATATCTCGATCACATAAAAATCCTGATGCACTCTTCCATTTCATCCATCCTACTTTGATTCTATGTGATACATCTCCATCTATTTCACCATACTTCTGAATTATGGAGCATAAGTAACAGAACATATCACACACCGATATGTCCTGCCATCAAGGCTAATCCCACTATTACTACTACTTATACTTCCAGCAACACGCACTCCATATACTCAGTCTCGCTTCGTCTTAGTTTGAAACCTTTGGTCTCCAATGTTTGTTGCAATACTTCCAACTTCGTTTTAACACCCAATTGTGTCTCATCAATCGATATAATATTGTAGGCGAATATCATTCACAACGGTATATCTTCTTGAATTGACTTCGTAAATTCATCCATGATTATAACAAATAAGAAAGCACTCAGAGCGATCCTTGGTGCAGTCCGATAGTAATAGGGAATCTGTAGTCCTCCCTACAGTAGTACAAACACTTATAGTACAAGCCCCATACATATCCAGATGATATTGATATACTTACGTGATATGCCTTTTCTAGTTAAGGCCCACCAAAGGACATCTCGAGGTACCCTATCATATGCCTTTTCTAAGTCAATGAACACCAAATGCAGATTCATCTTAGTGTTTCTATACTTTTCCACAACTTGTCTAAGAAGGTAAATGGTCTCAATTGTTGAGTGCCCCTGCATAAAACCAAACTGATTCTCCAAAATGTTAACACTTTTTCGGATTCTTTGTTCAACCACTCACTCCCAGAGTTTCATGGTATGAGTCATAAGCTTAATCTTTCGATAGTTGGCACATTCGTATACATCACCCTTATAATCAAATGTAATACAATCAACATACAACATACAAATACTAACCCCATACTCTGTGCTGTTACCAACGATGCTGAATAGCCGCATATAATGTTGCAAAGCGTAGGCCGTAATTAAGAATATATAAGTGTATATATAGAAGTGAATGACACCAAGTCACACCTACTTCCGTCTCATTTTTATTACTGAATGAACACCACCTCATATTTTTTACTAAATGAATATAATAAGAAGGAATCTTAACTTAAAAAGGAATGGGGGATGTAGAGAAAATATATAATCTAAACTAAAAAAAACTAAAACTGATAAATTTAACAATAAAAATTAATATCCTTGCTTCATATAAACTTTTCATCGAATGCAGTGGACCTATGTAATTAGAGCGGCGCTTGCATAAAGCCCTACTTCGATTGCAATAATATACGTAGTATATAGCAATACAAAATGGTAGTAAGTATTTTGAACCGCACACTAATCAAGTAGATGCATGAGAGACGTGTTGTATGGCAAGCTCTTGCGGTATTTTCCAATTTTGTTCGGTGAAAATAAAGCTCCTACTATATCCATCGGTATGCACCCAATGTAGTACTTAATAGAGAGTCGCTGGGTTTCTTTGAAGAAAGGAAGGCACGTGGAATAAGGATAGGCAAACACATCGGAATCGAGAGTACGTAAAATTATAATCTTAATAGGTTATTCTATTTACATAAATAGAACAGAATGCTATTAAATAAGAAGAGGTGAAAAAACAAATACTTGAGGTGATATGAAGAAACGAGCATTTCAGACAGGTATTTTGTTCGGACAAGCTTGGAGACAACGGAATAGGAGGTATGCCTCATTGACAGGTTTTGGTTTCGTCTCACTCTCTTTCTGTACTTTCATTTTAATCAATAAAATATGGTAAAATTTCTCCGATCAAAAAGGGGATTTATTTTGCTCGTCAACAAATTTTTTTAATCTTAGCTCACCCAATGTAGACCCCAGATATTCAAAAAAACTCTTGGACCGTAAGTGTTCAAGGAAGAGAACCACAAAACTATATACTTTGCGTTACACACAGTTTACGGTTCCTAACAACACACGGTTTACGGTCCAAGTGAAGGTTTACCATCAAAACAGAATTTACGGTCCAGAAACCTTATTGGTCTACATAGGATGCCTACTCCAACACTTCATGAATCGGAGGGAATCCAGTCCACATGGTGAGAATCCAACAAGGCCAGGAGACGAGCAGCCGATACCTCTTGGGGGTCACTTGGAGCGATCCAACTCGCTTCCCGGGCAGGACGAACGTCCCCACTATTTAGGCGGGAAACCTAGATTCGAGCGGGAAGTGCATTTAATGCTGAAGATTTGGTGGTTGGGACACCAGCCAACCGCAGTCTTCCACGTCAGCATAGCCAACTGCCCATTGGTGGGTATAAATAGAAGCATTTATTTCATTGTAAAGAGTTGGCAACTTTCTATTCTTAGCACTCTAGCTATAGCATTCTTATTCGCAGCACTTCTACTGCCTTGTAAGACGAACGGCCGACGAGCCTTAGCGAAAGTATTGTATTAGGGAGTTATTAACAGATAATAATACCTAATCACCTACTTGCTATTTGTTGTTTCTTAGTATCCATCATTATTTATTCTTATCTGGTTTCATTTTTATTCTTCCATGTATTTCGAAGAGGTATGCCTCTTCCGGAGAGGTTTTGGTTTGGTCCCCCTCTCTATTTGTATTTCTGTTTCATTATTAATAAAATTCGGCAAATGTTCCCCGGCATTTGCCCCACCGACTTAGGTGGTTTGCCTTCCGGGTTAAAAAAAAAAAAAAAAAAAAAAGTATCCATCACTTGCTAGTTGGGCTAGTTTACTCACACACTTAATCCACTCGAAATCCTTGGGCTTACGTGTTGGACCCGAGGGTTGAAGGAATAAACCTCAACACTGGCGCCGTCTGTGGGAAACTGAACTAAAAGTTTCCAAAACTCTCCCAAGCAGCTACCAAATCTACCCACAGCAAGCACGATGGCAAGAAACAACCAACTGCATGATCTCTCGGAGCGATTGTCTCGCGGACGGAGGAGCCGCGGGCAAACCACTGAGGGTGATGGTGGCCTCACCAACCTCATTCCCCCCAAGGCCAGGCGCGAGTGCGCGACCCTCGACTCATGAGGGAGCTGGCGGAAACCATGCGCCGAATGGCGGACGAACAAGAGGCAGATGAGGAGGTGTACTCAGCTAACACAATCTGGACACCCATATCACCAATCCACCACATGCAATCCCTGGATGAGACAGCGGATTCTGCAGAACGCTGGGCGTCCGTCCACACGAGGTTGGGCCGGAGCCCACCAGTGCGGAGCTCCCATGGAACCAGGGGGCTCACCAGTGCCAGCACCCCGCATT